ATATATTAAAAACCAGCACTTTCTCATTACTTTATTTTCCAGATCACCAGACTAGGCCACAGCAACATGTGGCAGGGGACGGATAGTTTTAGCAATAAAAGATCAAAATGTCAGAAGAATAAACAGAATGGACACAGAAGAAAGATTAATAGAAGCAATATATATTAAGGAATCTAAATGAAGCCTAGAAGAGACAGATTATTGTCTGCTGTATCAACAAGCTCCGCTTTCTCAGGCAGTTAGTGTTAATAAGTTAACATATACTACAGTACTCTGACCTTCTCTAAATCATTTCCGTGCTGAAATTACATTTGCATCCTTTGCACAGAGGATGAAAGACTTGTTCGTTCTGTTGAAGCCTGAATTGCAGTCAACATAGGCAAGTTTTAACTAAATGGAAAATTCCCTTCTTTCCCTTAAGCCTCTTAAAGAAGTGTGCCTTTGACAGATGCCTGTCTGGCTCCTGGCCAGCTACTGCTTTAATGATTTACTTGCCTCGAAAAGCACTCATAAGAGACAATAACAGTAATACAGCTGTGAAAACAGCACACACAAAAGATGTTACCCTGGAACTGAACTGTCCACAGTTTACAAGATGCCTTCTTTGTGTTGATAGAACAAGTTCAGTTGATTATTTTGGTGAAGTCTCTGGATTCTTGCTGTAGGAGGTAGAGAGAGCTTTTCTCATTTGAAAAAAAAAGTTTCAAAGAAGAACAGGCTTGTCGAAAAGATGTAAAATCCACCATTGGGTTGAGTGCACTTTTTCAGTTCACCAGAACTCCACCCCTAAAGCTCCCTTTGAAGAAGGACTTTCAAATATTAATCTACACCTCATTAAAATCTGTATATCGCTGATATTTCTGTCAGATGTAGTGCCAACATGGTTGCTGTGCAAATGCAACGCTAACCAAAACTGACACATTTCAGTACTTTTACCTTTTCAAAAACAATATCCAGAGGCCTTAAGACACCTGATGGGAAAAACATCTCACAAAAACAGAATTGGACATAGCTGTACATTGTACTATTTGAGTTATGTAATACGTCAGCCAAGGAATGTTTCTGTTTTAACCAGTGATGTAAATTTGTATCAATTTGTATGGCCACACTTTTTAGGAAGTTTTCAAAATACTGAACTCATGGGCTAGCATCTTATACTAGCTGTACCCGCCATGTGTTGCTGTGGCCAACCTTAATAATAATAATAAAACTTTATTTATACCCCGCTCCATCTCCACCAAGGGGATTCGGTGCGGCTTACATGACGCCATGCCCATCAGTAGTACAATACACAACAATATAACACAGAACATAATAAAACCAAAAAAGAAAATACATAAAATGCAAAACAATATAATAGCAACACAATATAAAATCAGACATTAAAACCTTTCCTCCCTCTTTCTCTCCTTCCTCCCCCCCCTTCCTTAATTTTTTTCTTTCCTTCTTCCTTCCTCCCTTCTCTTCCCTTCCTTCCCCCTTTTCTTTTCCTTCTTTCTCTCCTTTCTTCCTTCTCTACCTTTCTTTCCTTCGCTCTTTGCTTTCACCCTTCCTTCACTTTCCTTCTCTCTCTTTTTATCTCCTTCTTTCCTTCTCTCCTTCCTTTCTTCCATCTGTCCTTCCTTCCATGGGGGCGGATGAGGCTCTCCCCACTCGCCGGACCCACCATTATGCCATCCGTTCCTAGCTCCTGCTCTGGCCAGAAGAGGGAGGTTGGTCGGCGGTGCCTCTCATGCTTGCTGTGCCTCACACAGGAGGGGGTGGGACCATGGAACTTGTTTGCATGCATGCGCTGTGTCGTCTTCTACTTTTTTGGAGTTTAAAGTTTTTTTCGCTGGTTTTTGGTGAATGTTTTGAGTGATGGACACTCCTTGGGTTAGTAGGTGTCTTGAGGCCAAATTTGGTGTCATTTCATTCAGCGGTTTTTGAGTTATGTGCATCCCACAAACGAACATTACATTTTTTTATATATATAGAAGAGTCACAGATCCTTAAGTGGTCCATATTCGTTACTACTCATATTCATTATTGTGGCATAGCTATCAGCCACATCAAGCAAGTCTTATTGGAGATCAGAATGCAAGAGGACGACATAAGGAATGCAAAAAGAACTGTGTGGTCCACCTTACAAATAATGGCAGGAACAAATGAGATTTAGACACAGAAGCAGAAAGCCAAGTGACAAGGTTGCTGAAAGAGGATTTGAGTGAAATCTGGGGCTTACAGAAAGACAGCTCCAGAAGGTTCGCTCCTTCTGGAGAGATAGTAACCCCCTCCCCCCACATCAAGTGATAGGGTTTGTACTAGAAGTATGTGGGGTGGGTGGATAGCTAAAATACTGACTCAAATATCAATGGTGTTTTTTAAAAAGCAAATTCTACCCCTAGTGGAATTACAACTGGAATACTGTAAAAAGTTCTGGACACTATATTTTTAAAAGCTATTGCAGGGTTGAAAAAAGAGAAAAAATGGCAACCAAAATAATCACGGAATTGTAGCAACTCATTTGTGAAGAAGAGAATAACCGATCAAGCTGCTTAGCTTACAACACCGCCAAAGTAGCGAAAGCATGATAGAAACAGATAAATTTAAGAGGAATGAGGAGGAAGTGGAGGAAATGAGTTCTTCTCCCTCTCAAAATAAGTAGGAATCGTTCAATGAATATGAATGTTAAGATAATCAGGATGGATAAGACCGAATGCTTCTTCACAGTGCAGTTAAGACATGGAACTCCATATTAAAATATATGTAGCATCTGTCACCAACTTGGATGTCTTTACGGGAGGATTACACAAATTAATCAAGAAGTTTATCAGTGTTGACCAGTCACAATGGCTATACATTATCACCAATAACCAGAAGCAATATGCCTCTCAACAACAGGCAATGGGAAATCTGGCCAGTGCTACTGCACTCATGTCATACTTGTGGATCTTGCAGTGGCATTTGGTTAACCACTATGGGATTTTTCTTTGGTTGCTTCAGAGAGCAGTCTTTGCATCAATATAGCAACTTGTTCAGCACCCTGTCATCACCTGCTATTTAAGTTTCATAAAAACTAATATTCATTTCAAATGCCAAGACATTACACTTGTACTAAAACGACCTTCTTCAAATGTATTTTTTGTAGTATTACCACAATTGATTGTAACAAAATGTATGGGAACTAAGAAAATAAGCTGTCAAAGTCAGAATCTATCTCTCTATCTGAAGTACCCTACTGTCAATTTTTTTGATATACTGTATATATAAATATACACTAGCTGTACCTGCCACGCGTTGCTGTGGCCAAACTTCCCTCCTTCTTTCTCTCCTTCCTTCCCTCTTTCCTTCCTTTCCTCTTTTTCTTTCCCTATTTCTCTTCTTTCTTCCATCTCTGTTTCTTTCCTCCCTTTCTTTGCTTGTTGGTTACATCCTTCCTTCTCTCCTTCCTTCCCTATCTTTCATTCCTTCTCTCCTTCCTTCCCTCTCTTTTTCCTTTCACTTTATTTCCTTCTCTCCTTCCTTGCTTCTCTACCTTTCTTTCTTTTCTTCCTTCTTTTCCTCCTTCTCTCCTTCCTTCCCCCTTTCCCTCCTCCATTCCTTCCCTCTTTCCCTCCTTCTCTCATTACTTCTTGACTGTCCCATTTCAGTCTTTCTATGTAAGTATTTACATCTTACATAGAAAGAAGGAAAGGAAGAAGGAAGGATGGACAGGCAGGAAAGGAAAGGAAAAGAAAGGGAGGGAAGGAGGGAAAGGAAGGAAGGAAAAGAAAGGAGGGACAGGAAGGAAGGAAAGGCAGGAGAATAAAGGAAGAAGGAAGAAAGGAGGGAAAGGAAGAAGGGAATGAAGAAAGGAGGGAAGGAAGTGAAGGGGAAGGAAATAAAGGGAAAGAAGGAGGAAAGGAAGGGAGGTAGGGAGGAAAAGAAGGGAAGGAAGAAGGAACGAGGGACAGGAAGGAAGGGAAGGAGGGAAAGAAGGAACGGAAGGAGAAAGAAGGAAGAAAAGGAAAGAAAGGGAGGAAGGAAGGAAGGAGAGGGAGGAAAGAAGGGAGTGAGGGAGAGAAGGTCCTTCACTCAAACACCGTTGACCTTCCTCACCGCCGCCTCCTCCTCCTCCTCCTCCCCCCCTTCTTCCTTGCCTGGGGGCTCTCCTGCTGCCACTGCCACTCACCCATCCCATCCCCTTCCAACAGGGAAAGGAGGAGGAGGAGACTGCCCTCCTGACATAGCAGGGAAAGAGAAGGGGCTCCATGCGGCAAGCCTCCACTTCCACTCCCATGGTGCCCATTCTCGCTTGTGTGTGTGTGGCCATGCATGCGCGCCTGGCTCCTCAATTGCCGGCTGTTTCCCCGCGAGGAGGGGGCGTGGCCATGGGTCTCTTTCTGGGTATGAAGTTCCTTCTTTGTGGACATGCAGTTTAGAAGTCCTTTCTGCTTTTTCTTTTCTTTCTTTCTTTCTTTTCTTTTTTTTGAGTGAAGGACATAACATTGGGTTGATAGGTGTATCGTGTCCAAATTTGGTGTCAATTCCCCTGTGGTTGTTGAGTTCTGTTAATTCCACAAACGAACATTACATTTTTATTTATATAGATTCACACAAAAAGAAAATGGAGGGAGAAAATATGAATGATGATGCCACGTTTGGAAAGCAAGGGAAATGTGCCAAGCATGTGAAAGTCATCTTTGCCACTCAAGGGTACATCCCCCCACCTCAAAATCTGTCTTTCAGATGTAACATGTGTTTGAAGATATAACATATACATATAACATGACCACAGCCCTCTGGTGGCAGCATTCATGGCAAAATGTTTACAGGATTTCCGTTTTGCCGATTGAGACATAGCTTTGGCTATGACAATAATGAGTGAATTCAAAGACAATGTAACTGGATAAATGAAACTGTCCTTTAGCAAATGGATTGCCTAAAGAAATCAAGAAACCAGAGTAACTGCTGCACAGGTTCCTCCAAATTATCCTCATCTGTGACATTTTAAAAATACATCCTCACACTCACCACAATTATGTTCCCCTGGTTTATTGGTATTTCACATTAAATATTTGAAATGTTATTACACATTTAAATGCTAGCTACAGCATAGGATTTACCAATAAATGCAGTGAAGATTTATTTGATAGGAAAGCGGCATAAATGCCTCAGAGTTGTGTACCAACATGCCCTCAAGTGAAGCCAGAGTCGGCATCCAGGAAAGAATCCAGTCTTATTCCCATGAACCGGAAGTGCTGTCCCATGTCTGTCCAAGGCTCTTGTTAACCTCAGTTTGCTGGAGTCTTTGCTGCTCGAGCCCGCACAACTTCGGCCTCTAGTTCTAATTCATCCAAGAAACGCTCCTGGGAGACAGAATATAACGTGTAGCCATCTAGATACAGGAAGCTGAGGAAAATAATTGTGAATGCCTCTCAGAGGGCTCTTCTGGTTATCCCTAGCTATGAACAGATAAGTATTACACTGTTGCTCTACTCTTAAGAACGTACAGCCTCCTTCAGGTCCTACTCTGGATTCAAAGGCTAAGGAGATGGGAAGAAGAAGGGACAAAATGACCTTCAAATATACTGATTTTCTTTAATAAAAGGAGTCAACCCTAATGTCGATCGATAAAAAAACCCTCAAAACGAAAATCCGGAACAATATGGTTTGGGTGAATCACTCCCACAAACATAAGAGTGGGTGCCTTCTGTGGGCACATGCGAGAGGGGAAAATATAACAGGGAAAGAAAGTATGGCAGAGACGGAATTACACCTAAGCCATAGTATACAAGTTTAGTAAATGGGCTGACCTTCTGTATATTCATTCAGTAGGTTGAAAATGAAAACCTGAGATGCCCAGAATAAGGAGATAATCAGAGATGAACTGGATGCATCTTACAAGGGAGATATTTTTCTGTGCCAGAAAGGGCAAAGCAAATCTCCCCCCCCCCCCCCAAGTTACATACAATATTAAGAGTTTTTGCAACCTCACATAAAACCTCAAAGGCTGTTTTTGCATATCTTAAGATGTTATTTTGTTTTTAAAATTGAGTATGGTAATTTATAAATCTGTCATAGAATCACAGAGTTTGAAGAGACCTCATGGGCCATCCAGTCCAACTCCCTGCCAAGAAGCAGGAAAATTGTGTTCAAAGCACCCCCGATAGATGGCCATCCAGCCTGTTAAAAAATTTCCATAGGAGTTGCCACCACACTTTGGAGTAGAGCAGTGTTTCTCAACCTGGGGGTCGGGACCCCTGGGGGGGTCGCGAGGGGGTGTCAGAGGGGTCGCCAAAGACCATCAGAAAACACAATATTTTCTGTTGGTAATGGGGGTTTTGTGTGGGAAGTTTGGCCCAAGTTTATTGTTGGTTGGGTTCAAGATGCTCTTTGACTCTAGGTGAACTATACATCCCAGCAACTATAACACCCAGATGGTAAGGTCTATTTCCCCCAAACTCCACCAGTGTTTACATTTGGGCATATTGAGCATTCGTGCCAAGTGAGGTCCAGATCCATCATTCTTTGAGTCCACAGTGCTCTCTGGATGTAGATTAACTACAACTCCCAAACTCAAGGTCACTGTCCACCAAACCCTTCCAGTATTTCTTGTTGGTCATGGAAGCTCTGTGTGCCAAGTTCAATTCCATCCTTGGTGGAGTTCAAAATGCTCCTGGGTTGTAGATGAACTATAAATCCCAAATGACAACATTAACCTCCCGCAACCCCACCAGTATTCAAATTTGGGTGCATCAGGTATTTGTGCCAAATTTGGTCCAGTGAATGAAAATACATCTAGCAAATCAGATATTTGCGTTACGATTCGTAACAGGAGCAAAATTACAGTTCTGAAGTGGCAACAAAAATAATGTTATGGTTATGGTTAAAAACTGTGTTGTGGTTAAAAACTGTTATGGTTAGGGGTCACCACAACATGAGAACTGTATTAAGGGGTCGGGGCATGAGGAAGGTTGAGAACCACTGGAGTAGAGAGTTCCACTGCTGTCATCTTCAAACACTAGATGGCTGCCTTCCCTTGTGAGTAAGAAAGGTACTGCTGTCAGCTCAAGCTTTCTTAGTTTGACTTATGAGATTCAAATTGTGCAGCCATTCCAGATATATAAAACCCACTTGCCTAGTTTCCAACTAACCTCACAACCTCTGAGGGCATCCATTGATGTGGGCGAAACGTTAGGAGAGAATGCTTTTGGAACATGGCCATACAGCCCGAAAAGCTCACAGCAACCCGATAGAATTTTAATTGTTTTAACTATCTATCATTCTATTGTCGAAGGCTTTCATGGCTGGAATCACTAGGTTCTTGTGGGGTTTTTTCAGGCTATATGGCTTGAAGAAGAAAACCTGGGATCAGATCCTTGGATGTAGGGCCTCTCTGGAAGCGCCCTGAGCCACAATCCTCCCTTGGTTCAGTAAAGATCACATTAGCATTGGTGACTTATTGTAGAAGGAAATATCACAGAGTTCAATGAAGTTTATTTCTCAGTAAGGCGGGGGTGGAGATCCAGATGTTGTAGGACTGCAATTCCCAGCATTCCTCAGCATCAGCTATCCTAGCTTGCAGCCCAGTAACATCTGAAACAGCCACATAAAACCTACACTAGAGATCAGAAAATATGAGAAATATATGGGAGTAGACCCACGAATTAGAAGTGGGTCTTCCCTCCTCTCCAAAGAACCATTCTGTGTTGTAATAGCACTTAAAAGTGTTAAACTAGGAGCTAAATAAGACATGGAGAATAATCTAATACATGTAGAATAATGTAATACAATACAATACTAATAATAATACCATATTATAATTATATATTTTATATTACACGTAATATTACTAATAATATTACAATATAATGGTGTAGTACAATATAGTAACATATAATACTGATATTGTGCTATGCTAATAATATAATATATTGTATGTATATATATCTTGTAAGCCGCTCTGAGTCCCCTTCAGGGTGAGAAGGGCGGCATATAAATGTCGTAAATAAATAAATAAATGTCTAGAGGCATTTTCTCCTGACGTTTCGCCTGCATCTATGGCAAGCATCCTCAGAGAATGCCAAAAGACCTCACTACCTCTGAGGATGCTTGCCATAGATGCAGGCGAAACGTCAGGAGAAAATGCCTCCAGAACATGGCCATATAGCCCGAAAAAACCCACAAGAACCTATCTATCATTCTGTTTTAGAGTTTATAGGCTTTTGGTTTTACACTGAACCATTTGTAAACATTGTCAGCCGCTTTGAGTTTCTTTGAAGAGAAAACAATTGGATATGAATATGAATAAGAAGACTATCCCCCCTTGCTTTGAGCCTTTCCTCACGACAAGAACGAAGGAAGGGAATCAGGGGCACCACTGAGCATGCGCAGTGCTTCCCTTCTTCCCCTAAGAAGCCGCGTTCCGCTTGGAACCCGAACTGAGGCGAAGGCCTATGAAGGATACAGATGCCCACGACGATGGCGCCGATGCCGAGGCCTGTGAGGGCGTTGCGGACCTTGAGGCCTCGCCGGGCCGCGTCCACTACCGCCTGCGAAGGGGGTCCTCGAGGAGGCCTAACACGCGGAGGCTCTCCTCCTTCAGGCGCCGCCGGCGACGACATCTTAGCCCTCGCTTCCGCCAGTGGCCTCCGCCCTTAATGACGCCCTCGCTCCAGAGCGGCGCTGAGGCGGCAACGGCCATCTTAGGTGAGGGCAATGTGGCGCCCCGCGGCCATCTTGGAAGAGACCGGAAATGACGCCAAATGTCCTCGCGCTCAAGCTCTTTTCTCCATCTTTGGTGAGGCGAAGAGAGTGGCTCATGAGAGAAGGAGAGGACATTGTGTATTGAGCTCTTTCCTTAAGATATGCTTATATTGATTTAGCTCTTCCATTGTATTTATATTTTGTATTATGTATTATATTCATATTCACTGAGCTCTCCCATTGTTTTCTATTATAATAAATTATGATATGATATTCACTGAGCTCTTTCCTTAAGCTAAACTAGTATTAAGTGAGCTCTGCTGTTACATTTCTATTAAAATACGTTATTATATTACTAGCTGTACCCGCCACACGTTGATGTGACCAACCTTCCCTCCCTCTTTCCCTCCTTCCTTTGCTCCTTCTTTCCTTCCCTTTTTTCTTTCCTTCTCTTCCTCTTTCCCTCCCCCCTTTTTCTTTTCCTTCTTTTTTCTCTCTTTCCTTCTCTCCCTTTCCCTCCTTCCTTTGCTCCTTCTTTCCTTCCCTTTTTTCTTTCCTTCTCTTCCTCTTTCCCTCCCCCCTTTTTCTTTTCCTTCTTTTTTCTCTCTCTTTCCTTCTCTCCCTCTTTCCCTCCTTCCTTTGCTCCTTCTTTCCTTCCCCTTTTCCTTCCTTCTCTTCCTCTTTCCTTCCTCCCCCTTTTTCTTTTCCTTCTTTTTTCTCTCTTTCCTTCTCTCCCTTTCCCTCCTTCCTTTGCTCCTTCTTTCCTTCCCTTTTTTCTTTCCTTCTCTTCCTCTTTCCCTCCCCCCTTTTTCTTTTCCTTCTTTTTCTCTCTTTCCTTCTCTCCCTCTTTCCCTCCTTCCTTTGCTCCTTCTTTCCTTCCCCTTTTTCTTTCCTTCTCTTCCTCTTTCCCTCCCCCCTTTTTCTTTTCCTTCTTTTTTTCTCTCTTTCCTTCTCTCCCTTTCCCTCCTTCCTTTGCTCCTTCTTTCCTTCCCTTTTTTCCTTCCTTCTCTTCCTCTTTCCTTCCTCCCCCCTTTTTCTTTTTCTTATTTATTTATTTATTTATTTACTTCACTTGTATACCGCTCTTCTCAGCCATTTGGCGTCTCAGAGCGGTTAACAACCAGTATCAGCAATACAGTACAAAATCATAATCATTTAAAACAGTAATATCAATCAATTAACATCAACATCAATACAGCAGTACAGAAAACAACAATCCATCATGTCTCATCAATAGAATCAGCATCCGATCTCGTCCATTAATCCATATTCCAGTAATCAATCTTTTTTTCTCTTTCCTTCTCTCCCTCTTTCCCTCCTTCCTTTGCTCCTTCTTTCCTTCCCCTTTTTCCTTCCTTCTCTTCCTCTTTCCTTCCTCCCCCTTTTTCTTTTCCTTCTTTTTTTCTCTCTTTCCTTCTCTCCCTCTTTCCCTCCTTCCTTTGCTCCTTCTTTCCTTCCCTTTTTTCTTTCCTTCTCTTCCTCTTTCCCTCCCCCCTTTTTCTTTTCCTTCTTTTTCTCTCTCTTTCCTTCTCTCCCTTTCCCTCCTTCCTTTGCTCCTTCTTTCCTTCCCTTTTTTCCTTCCTTCTCTTCCTCTTTCCTTCCTCCCCCCTTTTTCTTTTTCTTATTTATTTATTTACTTCACTTGTATACCGCTCTTCTCAGCCATTTGGCGACTCAGAGCGGTTAACAACCAGTATCAGCAATACAGTACAAAATCATTATCATTTAAAACAGTAATATCAATCAGTTAACATCAACATCAATACAGCAGTACAGAAAACAACAATCCATCATGTCTCATCAATAGAATCAGCATCCGATCTCGTCCATTAATCCATATTCCAGTAATCAATCTTTTTTTCTCTTTCCTTCTCTCCCTCTTTCCCTCCTTCCTTTGCTCCTTCTTTCCTTCCCCTTTTTCCTTCCTTCTCTTCCTCTTTCCTTCCTCCCCCTTTTTCTTTTCCTTCTTTTTTTCTCTCTTTCCTTCTCTCCCTCTTTCCCTCCTTCCTTTGCTCCTTCTTTCCTTCCCTTTTTTCTTTCCTTCTCTTCCTCTTTCCCTCCCCCCTTTTTCTTTTCCTTCTTTTTCTCTCTCTTTCCTTCTCTCCCTTTCCCTCCTTCCTTTGCTCCTTCTTTCCTTCCCTTTTTTCCTTCCTTCTCTTCCTCTTTCCTTCCTCCCCCCTTTTTCTTTTTCTTATTTATTTATTTATTTATTTACTTCACTTGTATACCGCTCTTCTCAGCCATTTGGCGACTCAGAGCGGTTAACAACCAGTATCAGCAATACAGTACAAAATCATTATCATTTAAAACAGTAATATCAATCAGTTAACATCAACATCAATACAGCAGTACAGAAAACAACAATCCATCATGTCTCATCAATAGAATCAGCATCCGATCTCGTCCATTAATCCATATTCCAGTAATCAATCTTTTTTTCTCTTTCCTTCTCTCCCTCTTTCCCTCCTTCCTTTGCTCCTTCTTTCCTTCCCCTTTTTCCTTCCTTCTCTTCCTCTTTCCTTCCTCCCCCTTTTTCTTTTCCTTCTTTTTTTCTCTCTTTCCTTCTCTCTCTTTCCCTCCTTCCTTTGCTCCTTCTTTCCTTCCCTTTTTTCCTTCCTTCTCTTCCTCTTCCTTCCCCCCTTTTTCTTTTCCTTCTTTTTCTCTCTCTTTCCTTCTCTCCCTCTTTCCCTCCTTCCTTTGCTCCTTCTTTCCTTCCCTTTTTTCCTTCCTTCTCTTCCTCTTTCCCTCCCCCCTTTTTCTTTTCCTTCTTTTTTCTCTCTTTCCTTCTCTCCCTCTTTCCCTCCTTCCTTTGCTCCTTCTTTCCTTCCCCTTTTCCTTCCTTCTCTTCCTCTTTCCTTCCTCCCCCTTTTTCTTTTCCTTCTTTTTTCTCTCTTTCCTTCTCTCCCTTTCCCTCCTTCCTTTGCTCCTTCTTTCCTTCCCTTTTTTCTTTCCTTCTCTTCCTCTTTCCCTCCCCCCTTTTTCTTTTCCTTCTTTTTTCTCTCTTTCCTTCTCTCCCTCTTTCCCTCCTTCCTTTGCTCCTTCTTTCCTTCCCATTTTTCTTTCCTTCTCTCCTACCTCTTTCCCTCCTCCCCCTTTTTCTTTTCCTTTCTTTTTCTTTTTTTTTTCTATACCTCTTTCCTTCCTTCCTTCCTTCCTTCCCTTTCTTTCTTTTCTTCTTTCCTTCTCTCTTTCTTTCTTTCTCCCTTCCCTTCCTTCCTTCCCTTCCCTTCCCTTCCCTTCCCTCCCTTTCCTTCTTTTTCCCTTCCTTCCCTCCTTCCTTCCCTTCCTCCTCCTTCCCTTCCTTCCTTCCTTCCCTTCCTTCCCTTCCCTTCCCTTCTTCCCTTCCCTTCCTTCCTTCCTTCCCTCCCTTCCCTTCCCTTCCCTTCCCTTCCCTTCCCTTCCCTTCCCTCCTTTTCTGTATTGTCATTTAACTTTTGGGATTTTTTGAGTCCTTTCCACTGGAGGGGTGTTTATGAGTGATGGTCATTCGTTGGTCTGTTAGTGGTATAGTGTCCAAATTGTGTGTCAATTCATCCAGTGGTTTTTGAGTTATGTTAATCCCAAACGAACATTACTTTTTTATTTATATAGATCAGGGGTCCTCAAACTAAGGCCTGGGGGCCGGATACAGCCCTCCAAGGTTATTTACCCGGCCCTTGTGCAGGGTCACCCTAAGTCTGAAATGACTTCAAAGCACACAATAACAACAACAATCCTATCTCATCAGCCAAAAGCGGGCCCACACTTCCCATTGAAATACTAATAAGTTTATATTTGTTAAAATTGTTCTTCATTTTAATTATTTATTGTACTACAAATAAGATATGTGCAGTGTGCATAGGAATTCATGCATGTTTTTTTTTCAAATTATTATCCGGCCCTCCAACAGTTTGAGGGATTGTGATCTGGCCCTCTGTTTAAGAAGTTTGAGGACCCCTGATACACATATTCACCGAGCTCTTCCCTTTATCAAAACTTATTATGATAATATAATTTAAGTGAGCGCTTCCATTATATTTCTATTTCTATTATAATAAATTATCAGATTATGTCCATATTCACTGAGCTCTTCCCTTAATCTAAACTTATATTACGTGAGCTCTTCCATCAAATTTCTGTTAGATTTCTATTATAATAAATTATGGTATTCTATTCATATTCACTGAGCTCTATCCTTAAGCTAAAGGTATATTAAGTGAGCTCTTCCATTAAACTGCTTTGAGTCCCCCCTGGGGTGAGAAAGGTGGTATATAAATACTGTAAATAATAAATAATAATTATATATATAATAAATTATTATATTCCATACACTGAACTCTTTGTATAAGCTAAACATATTAAATTAGCTCTTCTATTTATTGTCGAAGGCTTTCATGGCCGGAATCACTGGGTTGTTGTAGGTTTTTTCGGGCTATATGGCCATGGTCTAGAGGCATTCTCTCCTGACGTTTCGCCTGCATCTATGGCAAGCATCCTCAGAGGTAGTGAGGTCTGTTGGAACTAGGAAAAAGGGTTTATATACTGTGGAATGACCAGGGTGAGACAAAGGGCTCTTGTCTGCTGGAGCTAGGTGTGAATGTTTCAACTGACCACCTTGATTAGCATGGTGGTTGTGAGAGTGGCCCAGCATTTCTGTGTTCTCAAATAAAATGCTGTGTCCAGGTTGGTTCATCAGGTGTTCTGCTATGGCTGATTTCTCACCATGTCAGACTATACAGAGAAGCCATTGAAATACACAAGCATGTGGACAATTTCGACAGAAAGGAGGAAACCATGAAAATGAACAAAATCTGGCTACCAGTATTAAAAACTCTAAAATTACAACAGCAAAACAACAGAGAGGAAACAAATAAGGACATCTAATCACCTCTCAACAAAAGTTTTCTCTAGGCAATGTCAGGCCATTATATGCTAATTAAGGTGATCAGTTGAAACATTCACACCCAACTCCAGCAGACAAGAGCCCTTTGTCTCACCCTGGTCATACCACAGATATATAAACCGTTTTTCCTAATTCCAACAGATCTCACTACCTCTGAGGATGCTTGCCATAGATGCAGGCGAAACGTCAGGAGAGAATGCCTCTAGACCATGGCCATATAGCCCGAAAAAACCTACAACAACCCAGCTCTTCTATTATATTTCTATTATATTTTGATTATTGTATATTTATATTTGGTGTATATTCATATTTATTGACCTCTTTCATTATATTATTATTACATTTATATGTATATTATATTCGTATTTAGTGAACTCCTCCATGAAGCTTATATTAAGTGAGCTCTTCCATTATATTCGTATTTATTGACCTCTTCCATTACATTCATATTTATTGACCTCTTCCATTATATTTATTTTATATTTATATGTATATTATATTAGTATTTAGTGAGCTCTTCCCTTAAGCTACATTTATTTATTTACTCTATCTTTACCCTGCCTTTCTCACCCCTTAAGGACTCAGAGCAGCTTACATATACAGGCAGCATTGATTTAGCTCTTCCATTGTATTCATATTTGTAATTATATTATATTTACTGAGCTCTTCTCTTCAGCAAAACTTAGAGTAAGTGAGCTCTTCCATTATATTTCTATTACATCTCAATTGTTATACATTATCATATTATATTATATTATATTCACTGAGCTCTTCCCTTAAGCTAAACTTATATTGAGCTCCGCCATTATACTATATTCATATTTACTAACCTCTCCCATTATAGTAGTATTAGATTTGTATGTATATTATATGCATATTTAGTGAGCTCTGCCATTATATTGTAGTATATTCATATTTATTGATCTCTTCCATGTATGTGTGTGTGTATGTATATAATCTTTATATTATTTGTGTATTTAGTGAGCTCTTCCCATAAGCGAAACATATTAATTGAGCATTTCCATTATATTTATAATACATTCACATTTAGTGAGTTTTTCCATTATGCTAAACTTGTGTTTATTGTACCAAAGGTGAAATTCAAAGTTTATGTAAAAAAAATGATGGGATAGTTAATTTGGGAGAAGTTATAATGAATTTCTATGATAAAATAAACTTAATAGCCTGGGGATGGCAGGGAGAGTTTTCGGTGTGAGTCAATACCTTTGAATGGCTACTTATCCAGTCGCTACCTATAATTGACACAGGAGGTTAGAATGTAACAGGAGCTTGTATAGGAATTTTTCCTAAATGCACAGTTCTAAACAGAGTGAACAAGGAATGAACCATACTGAACACACTGGGATTTTCTGAGGAGCAATCATGCATAGAATGGTGGTGTTAATCTTCCACATTTTTCATGTTTTTCGAAGTATTTATGAATTGCGCTCTTTTTATAGCAAAGTGCTCCTGAAGTGCTGCACAAAAAGAAATTATTTAAGGTACACCTAGAAACCATATATTTTAAAAATTATAAATGAAAGGTGTCAATGAAATACGTAGTGTCCCCATGCATTACTAACCAGGGCAGCATACAGGGAGCACACCACCCCCCTGCTATGCCAGCTCCACTGGCTGCTGGTCCATCTCCAAGCCCAATTCAAAGTGCTGGTTTTGACCTATAAAGCTCTAAACGGTTCTGGCCCAGCTTACTTGTCCGAACGCATCCACCCCTACGTCTCACCTTGTAATCTAAGATAATCCGGGGAGGCCCTGCTCTCGCTCCCGTCAACAGCACAAATGCATCTGACGGGGACGAGAGACAGGGCCTTCTCGGCTGTGGCCCCCCGCCTATGGAATACACTCCCAAATGAGGTAAGATCCACTTCCCTCCCTCCTGGCTTTTAGAAAAAAAATTAAATCATGATTCTGGGACCAGGCCTTCGGACAGTAGATGTATGTAGCCATTTAGAGGGACATTGACTGGAATGGCGATTTGACTGACGAGACTGTTTTATTGTTTTAATGCTTGTTGATGTATTGTTTTAATTTTGATTTATATTTAATTGTGGTTTTACTATTGTAATTGTTTGTATTGGTATCGTATCGGTACCCAACGTAAGGCATTGAATCTTGCCATTATTTATGTGTAAACCGCTTTGAGTCTCCCCAGGGGTAAGAAAGGCGGTATATAAATACTGTAAATAAATAAATAAATAAATAAATAAATAAATATGTGTCTATATTTCATATAAGGGGTTTAGCCTCTGGTTTGCTAGTAAAGCTGAATTACTGGGTTGCAAAATGATTGATGTCTAAAAAAATGTCTCCAACATGAAATGTTTGACAGCTTCGATATCATCAAAACTTTGAACAGTGGTTCTCAACGTGTGGGTCCCCAGATGTTTTGGCCTTCAACTCCCAGAAATCCTAAAAACTGGTAAACTGGCTGGGATTTCTGGGAGTTGTAGGCCAAAACACTTGGGGACCCACAGACTGAAAACCACTACCTTAGAACCAATTATATGGAGAGGTTTGGAGGTAAAAAGGCTGAGAGGAGAGAAAAAGAAAAACATTTAGATAAGATTATCAAACACCACATTGTTTAAGGTAAACACAGCTGATACTTTTTCTCATTCCTCAGGGTGTTGACACAACAGCTAAGATGTGTTCACCTGCACAGATGGCAGCCAGGCATCGCTCTTCGGAGCCTGTCTTTGGAGCTGTAGCTCCTGGGATTATACAAGATGCATTGCTTCACATGGCGAGGGAGAATGAGCAGTCCTTGAGTAAGCTCTGCAGTGAGGCAGGCAGCTTTAAGGAGACCAAGACAGTGGGTAAGAGTTGAACTTGGCCAGCCCTGAAGACCAGAGGTGTGCAACTGTGAAGGGAGGGGGACAGACAGCAATCTTTGCTCCATGGCCCTCATTTGGGGTTTCAGTCCACTGCAACTGCCGGAAATTATCTCAATAGTGAGGAGAGTGCATTGAAGGATTGTTGGGGCCCCCAAAAGTGGGGTTTGGAACCATAGACCTGGTCTAAGTTAACATATTCAAATAGTTTGTAGCTATGATTTTGATAACTTCATCTCTCTTGGCCAGAATTCGTGTTTCTTTTATCTGAAAAATGGAACCTGACTGAAACGGCAAGATACCAAGCAATAGAAATATTTGAAAGGTATTGCTTTGTTTTGTTTTGTTTTCCTTTTGTGGTGCTGACTTTAAGGCAGAGGAGTATGAGTGAAAAGCGTATAAGACTATGGTGCTTTTATAGTTTTAAAATAGCTGCCACATGTGATGAAAGCTGTTATAGTCATCTGTATCATCTTTACCCCGTATGTCTCCCAAGGATGGAAAGTTTTGATACGGCCGCTGGACTAATCAATAAAATGTATTCCCAGGGATGGGATACAGAGCAGCTAACAACATATTTTAAACAATACAGATTAAAAACTATACAAATGCATCAATAAAACTATATACAATTTCTGGGGTTTGGTTCCAAGGCCCCCCCCCCCCCCCCCCGCCCAGCTGATGAATGGTAGTTAACCTGCTAGAGATAGCATTTTATTTATTTTAGAAGAATATATATTACTCTTTATGTAGTTACAAGTTTCAGGAAGGTCTACAACAGGGACCCTCAAACTAAGGCCCAAGGGCCAAATACGGCCCTCCCAGGTAATTTACCCGGCCCTCACTCAGGGTTGACCTAAGTCTGAAATGACTTGAAAGCACACAACAACAACCCTATTTCATCAGCCAAAAGCAGGCCCACACTTCCCATTGAAATATTAATACGTTTATATTTGTTTAAAATAATCTTCATTTTAATTATTGTATTGTTTTAAAGTGTTTTTTTGCACTACAAATAAGAGATGTGCAGTGGGAATAGGAATTCATTCATGTTTTTTTTTCAAATTATAATCCGGCCCTCCAACAGTTTGAGGGACTATGACCTGGCCCTCTGTTTAAAAAGTTTGAGGACCCCTGGTCTACAATTTGAACATTTTTTCAAAATGAAACAAACACTGGAACCTTCAATAAAGCTGCAAGAAATAACTGATTAACATTCTTGTGCAATCATGATTTGACACTGGGTAGGCCTTTTTAGTGATGGTATTTATAACTGGATTGCAATAGGCAAACAATTAAATACTTTAAAAGAGGGATAATATGCATAAACCAAAAAGTAGCTGTCAGAAATCTGTGGTAATTGACATACTGTAATCTCTGTGGTTATTGAAACGTTCAGGACATCTTTAAATGCATTATACCAGTCTAGATAGGATTGTCAGACCATGGAGCATTGTGGTTGGACAACGGTGGAGTTTAAACATGTATAATGTTGCCACCTTCTGTTGTATTGATTTTTTTTAAAAAAACTCTACTGATTCTTAACCAAACGGAACCATAGTATAATAGGTGTGGACAGAAGTTACTCATTTGGATGGGAGCTACCCAGAAACCCAGAAACGGAAGCAGATTTGTACAGTTATGACTAATTTGCATGGTGAGTTTGTGTACATGAGAAACAGGCAGATAGACCAACATATGGGTCAAGGAAATAAATGAAGAATGGAGCAGCCAAGTATTTCATGGAGCACAGATAAATGTTTCATGTATGCTGAGTGCTCTTGGCTTTACAAAGAGAGGAATTGGGGGAGGGGGGGGGTTCTTGTTTGACTAAATGAACATGCAATTAATTTTAATTTATTTGAGTACCCTATATGTCCAGTATTAAAAAGTAAGAATGTGAGAGAAAGGCAACTATGAGGCATTAATGTTTCTTCCGCCATACAATGTGCAGTGTGATGGCTGGTTATTTCAAGTGCCCCAAATGACTGTACTCTTTATTGCATTTGTGCATTTTATTCTGCTCACACAGACTGCCATTTCCCTTGTTCCGGCTGCCATATTCACTGGCAAACACATAGGTTTTTGTGTACAGTAGCATAAAGGACCATGATAACTTAAATCCCATATAAGAATTTATAGAACAATTTATTGATTTCTGGGTACCACCTTGTCAAAGAGCAGTAGATGTGCCAGGCGTTTCAAAAAGATGAACCCGATTTGAAACCTCTATATCTCTGCAACCACAAACCCCATGAATGAAACTCTCACTACTTGAAAGGATGGGGCATAGAGTTTGATTACCCCTAAATGCCTCTCAGTGCACAAGCAGCCCTTAGTCTTAGTGATTCGCAAAAACCAAACACAAAATGCTTTATGCTAGTGGGTCACCATTTTGCAAATGACTGAGACTAGGATCTGTGTGCTGGGAGAGTCTTCTAGCTGCAATCTTTTGGAACTCTATACCCCACCTTTTCAAGAGTTAAGGGTTTCATTCATGGGCGGTTTGTGGTTGCAAAGATATAGCAATTTCAAATCAGATCCATTTTTTGAAACACCCTATATAATTCCCTTATAATTATTTTGCACACAGGCTTTGTCAGCACATTTAGTAATTTAGCAGCTCATGTCCTTTGACCACTGATAGTAATGCTAAAGATTATGCTGCTTTGATACTAAAGATTGTAAGTGACCACCTTATTCCTTATTGTTATCAATAGCCCTTCCCTATACGGCTCTGGCCCAGCGTACCTGTCCGAACGTATCTCCTTCTATGTCCCACCTCGGAGTTTAAGATCTTCTGGGGAGGCCCTGTTCTCGGCCCCGCCTCTATCACAAGTGAGGTTGGTGGGGACAAGGGACAGGGCCTTCTCAGTGGTGGCCCCTCGCCTGTGGAATTCACTCCCCGGGGAAATTAGGTCATCAGCATCCCTCCTCTCCTTCAGAAGGAAGCTGAAAACATGGATATGGGACCAGGCTTTTGGGTAATCTGGCAGACTGACAAGGTAATGACGACCAGAATTTGGAAAGGACTATGGTAATGCTGAATGGACTTATGGATTTTAGAACTTGGTGAACGTTGGCCACTAGATTGGCTTTTTAATTGTTATTGTATTAATTTAATGTTTTAATTATTGTGGTTATTGCTGTTATGTATTTTATCTGATGAATTGTTGGCATCGAATTGTGCCGGTTGTAAGCCGCCCTGAGTCCCCCCTAGGGGGTTAAGGGCGGGGTAGAAGTGCCCGAAATAATAAATAAATAAATAAATAAATAAATAAATAATTCATTTCTTTAAATATTTTTGCTCTTATGCTATTTTAGGTTCATGCTCACACTTATTAAAGAGCTCTTCCATTGCACCAAAGCAAAGGGAGAAGATTGCAGTTGGACCTCAGTGAAACAGCAAATTGAGGGCATATACGTGTTGCGCCTAATTTCTTCCATCCAACTTGCCAGCAAGCTCTCTTTCCACTACAGTGTAAGGAGAATTGGGATTCACCTTAAGTATATTATAAGCATTGTCGAAGGCTTTCATGGCCAGAATCACTGGGGTGTTGTGCCTTTTCCAGGCAGTGTAGTCATGTTCTAGCAGCATTTTCTTTTGACATTTTGCCTGCATCTTCAGAGGATCTTGAAATGCACAAGTTGTATAAATATGCTGCATGGCAGAAATAATATCCTTCCAAAACTTATACTTTTGCCTAGGACTTTGTTTGTTTAAAGCAGAGGTTCTCAAACTAAGGCGAGAGGGCCAGATACAGCCCTCAAAGGCCATTTACCCGGCTCTCGCTCAGGGTCAACCTAAGTCTGAAACGACTGGAAGGCACACAACAACAACAATCCTATCTCATCAGCCAAAAGCAAGCCCACACTTCTCATTAAAATACTAATAAATTTATATTTGTTAAAATTATTCTTAATTTTAATTATTGTATTGTTTTAAAGTGTTTTTGCACTACAAATAAGATAATATGCAGTTTGCATAGGAATTCATTCAATTTTTTTCAAATTATAATCTGGCCCTACAACAGTTTGAGGGATTGTGATCTGGCCCTCTGTTTAAAAAGTTTGAGGACCCCTGGTTTAAAGTTTAAACCACTTACGATCCATGCACAAAGAAGTGCCTCTGGCAGATCAAAACGTTTGTCATAGGAATAATATTAAGCTGAACGAGAAACCATTCCACTCATTGTCTTGACGTGTTTCCACTCTTTCTTTCCACATGTCTCCAAAATCTCTTCAGGGGTTGTGTGCTTTGATCTGTGACTTCAATTCAAAACAGACCTGTCTTCAGAAAGTTTAAGAAAGTTCGCATCTTCCATATCAAGCACTAAGCCTTTGCAGCAAAAATTCCATCTTTCTGGGGTTATGTTCATCAGCTCTTTGTTATATTTTTTTCTTTCATCATATACTGAGCAAACCTTTCATATATAAGTGTGGCACTGTGGGCCAGATGGTAGACAGTGAGTGGAATGGTTTCTCGTTCAGTTCAATATTATTCCTATGACAGTTATTTTGATCTGCCAGGGGCATTGAACTTTCTGACTCAAAAAGAGTAATCTGCTGCATTTTGAGGATCAAATTCAGGATCTCTGTGAGACTGACACGTTGGCTATTGAGCTTCAGTTTAAGAATACAGCCATTTACAAAGGCTACTAATAAATAGTATCATGGAATACATGGAGGAGACTCAATCTATTACTATGACTAGCAGGAGAAAAATTTCGGATGTTCTGTGCAGGCTCTACAGCATATATATCGGGATGTGTTTTTAAAAATATGTTAAACCATCAGTCCAAAAGAACCTTTTAATACCAAATCATAGCAGTCAATATGTAAAGCAAAGTTTGCCTGTTGGGAGTAACGTTCACACTTCTCTTCACACAGATTGTTAATAACAATATGGTTTTGAAGTTTCTGAAGTCCGTGGGTTACTCTTATACCACAGAAGAACTGCTGGAATCTGAACTGGCTATTTTGAAGGCTCTGCATTTTCAGATCAATGTTCCAGCCCCTTTTGCTTATGTTGAAATGCTCCTGGAGGTTTTAGGTAAAGGTCAGGAGAAAGATAACATTGGATAAATTTAGGCTTGGGTAAAAAATTGCTATGGTATTATTTCATTCCCCTCTGTTTGAACACCAGGAACCTTTGTGCAACTTCTGCAAGATCTGTTTTGTCCAAAGAAAAGCTTGGTGGAATGAAGGGTGTGTGTGTGTAGAACTATTCTCCTAAACTTGACAAAAATCCAAATAGGGGGGAAGGGAACAAGTGATAATCCTACCATTGGTAGGCATGAGAGGAAAATAAGAAACAAAACAAAAACCATAGAAGACATTTGAGGTTGGCGATCCATAACAACATATTTGTTAGGTCACTCGCCTAAATTAACTGTCCAGATTCTGCCTCAAAATAAAGTTAGCTCTTCTCGTTTCTGATGGTTTCTTTATTTTCCAATTAGGATACAATGGTTATTTACGTCCCACAAAAGAACTGCAGGAAATGTGCAGAAATTTGCTGAGCTTAGCATACCTCTTGAGGAGCAGCATTTATGACACTTTGCTGAAGTCAGCAATCGAAAATGCATCTCCAAGTGAGCTCCAGCTGTAAGTTCTGCAAAACAATGTGCTAAAAATGAATGTACACATAGGAAAAAGAAGTTAACTTGGAGGGGGCAGAATGTGGCACTTTTCCAGACTCCTCTATGTCTACTAAAGCCTCATGAAGTGAAGACCAAGAAATTCTGAGTCAGTTTTCCATATTAAAAAACTTAATAGAGCTCTGTTTATGTGCTCCACACTTGGAACAGTCTGGCTTCAGAGCTGAAACTGCCCTGTGACATTGGAGTCTTGGCAATAATACAATATACACAGTTCATATAAGATGGCTTTTTACCTGAATGCAATGACAGACTGGGTGTGAAGGTTGATTGTTTTCAATGGAGATACTGATGCATCTGGATGTTAGATAAGTAGCATGTTAGATTTCCTCTGGCAATATCCCTTTATGTCAGCTAAAGATTGTCTGTTTTCCACAGATTCCTTCAAAATAGGTGTTTCACAATTCATGACAACATAGTATAACATTAATCAAAGTTCAAAAAATCAACTAGATATTGAATTATTTTCTGTATCTACATAAATGTATGCTTTTAATGTACAATATCCTCGCTGTTTCTCCTGGAACACCATTTTCTTACTTTGCCATTTCAATTTAATAGAGCAGAGTTTGTATCTGTAAAGGAAGATCTTATGCTCCTGGCTGTGGGAGTCATTGGTGCAAGCTCTTTCCTCCTGAACCCTGAAGGCTGGAATCAGGTACATATATCTCACTGCTCAGCTTAGTGGCATAATACATTGAGTGGCAACAGTATAGCATAGGGTTACTATATATCCGCCCATGCCTGGACCTACCTTTTTCCCCCAGAGTTAACATTTGTTGGTAAAATTAAATATTGCTACATAATTACATTTTTGTTTAAATACAGTGAAAATTACAATTACTTCTATCTATCTCTATATAAAAGATCAAAGTAGCATGTGTGTTTGTCCATTTGTAGATGTGTATGAGGGGAAGGGAGAAAGGAAAGAAAGAGAAAAAAAGGAGAAAGGATGGGGGAGGAAGGAAGGGAGGGAGGGGAAGAAAAAGGAAAGGGGACAAAGTATAAGGGAAGGAAAGAAAGAGAAATAATAAGGGAAGAGAAAGAAAGGGAATAAGGGCAGAAGGAAGGAAGGAAGGAAGGAAGAGAAAGGAAAGTAGAGAGAGAAGGTATATGAGGGAAAGTAAAGGAAGCAAAGAAAGAAAAGAGAGAGGAGGAAGATGTATGAGGGAAACGAAGGAAGGAAAGAAAGAACCAAAAAGAGGGTCTGTGCATCATTGCCAGAGTTTTGCTCTAGAAATACTGTGAAGTAGACCTCAGAGCTGGAGAAGGGAGGAAATAGGCAGGCAGTGGTTATACTGAAGTAGACTTTCTCAGAGCTGGAGAAGGGAGAAAATAGACAAGCATTGGTCACAACGACACCCGGGCAATGCTGGATATGTACACTAGTCAGTTTATATAATAGGACTCTAAAGTAAAATAGCTATTGGTATTTTGAAGTAGACAGTAATTAAATGTGTTTTTTTAGCTTTTCAAAATATAACTTGGTATAATACAGCAGTGTGAAATCCATTACTTTCTCCACCTGCCTGTCCATAAGAAACCTGATACAACACCTTAACCTCAGCTTTTTTTAAATAATTGAAAGGTTGTGGAGTACCTCGGTGACACCACTGGCATCAGTCTGCAGAGCATTGTTGAGGCAGTCTATGCAATTCTGAAGCACAGCATGGATGACTGCTAGAATCCCCTTCTTCCCGAGACTGTGAGGCAATATATTACTGGCATCGGGCTGTGTTTTATTGTATTCCTCATGAATATGGGGCTCTTAAATTTGTTATTTTTTGTACAGAAGTAAACAAGGTCCCCAGTTACAGTTTAAAATGCTCATTGCTTTCTCACAGGCTTAAATTTTCTTCTGTTAACCTTTTATGAGTAGATATTTTAAAGAAAGCACTTCTAACCCTGCCCATAGGTGGAGATCAGTTTTATTTTTTGTAAGCAGAGAAGAATTATGAGTGCTTGGGAGGAAAAAAAAACACTCCATCTGCATATTGCTGAGGTATGATAAGTGTGTTTTCTGAAAGCTTTGTTGGAGGAAGAAGTCTCAGTATGGATGAATTCATTTATGAGGGAGAAAGAAATATAAACTACTTCCATGTCTGTCCCTTATGAATAAAAATACTGTGTTCTTCTGAAAGAAACTGATATTATTTATTTGTGTACTTCCTTAGGTATTGTAGCATAGTAACAAAACAAGAAGCACGAATTGGCTTACAGCTAAGTAGAGTCACTCCTCTTAACAATTCTGGAAATTGGTGGATCTTGTTTTTCTTCTTTTTACTAGCTGGCATTTTCAGCACTTTCTTCAGTTACAGCATGCTTTGTCCAACAAATAGTCAATTGTGGTATGAAGTATTCTGCTCCATTTGACTTGAGGATAACATTTTAAAGTTCCTCTGGCCGTTTTGAGTCCTGTGTAGTGATGTACGGCTATCACGAGTCTTGCTTTTGGCATCTTTGACACAAACTGCAGCTGTGTTGCAAAGTGGCCCTCTTCTCTATTATTGCCATCATTTATTATAAAACTGGGAAGAGACCCAGGCAAGACCCCATTTCAAGTTTGTCAGCATGAACTTGAGTGCTTTTGTCCACTGCTCCTCCGAGTTAAACTGTGTCTTAATGGAGTAGGACCCACCACTTCCTCCTGTATCTTCAATCTTGCCTTTTTCAACATCCATTCTGCATAATCAAAAAAAGACATAGAGATCCAATAAGCCTCCCAAAATGGTAACTTTTAGTATTTAGTATTGGGGGACAGAATAACATTCCCCTCCAGTTTGTAAAGCATTAGTTCTACTAGGTAAATATCTGCTAAACCTCTGAGTGGTTAGATGCAAGACAGCACAGGATAAGCTCTAGCTACGAGGGTTATCCAAAAAGTAAGGTTACAAGGTTTTTTTTTTTTTTAATATAAAGAATGAATATATTTTAATAAAACTTACATGGATATTCCATTGTTTTTTCAAATAATCTCTATTCAGTTCAATACATTTTGTCATCCATGGGACGAATTTTTGATGCCTGTGCCATAGAAGTTTCCCTCCTTTTCAGACAGTTTATCATTTCGATTTTCACCTTGTCGTCGGCAGAAAAGTGTTTTCCAACAAGGTGTTCCTCCAATTTAGTGAACAGATGATAGTCACTGGGTGCGAGATTGGGGCTGTGAGACGGGTGGCTTAAAACATCCCAACTAAGTCAGCAACTCTTGTGCTGCATGAGCGGTGTGTACGTGTATTGTCATGAAGGAGACAGATTCCCACTGTCAACATCCAAAACATTTGCTTTGGATGGCTCTGCAAAGTTTCTTCATGGTCTCACAATATATTCCATATCCATTTTGTCACATGCTGTCTTGACATTATGTCCTCTCTATAAACTGAAATTATTTCATGATGAATCGCAGTGGCGTTCATGCCCTTAGCATTTAGTGTATTACAGTTTAAACTTTGCACTTGGAGGGAAACGGAATGTGGACGCTCATCTCTAACCTTCACCACAACACCAGACTATGAGCTACTGACGACTGGCACTGCTCGTTCACTTCTGCTGCTTTCCTGCTACACGGCAGTGATACCAACTTCTCCCAAGAACATTCCCTGCAACAGCTATGTGCCTTGTAACCTTACTTTCTGGATAACTCTTGTACTACTTTTAGAAACATCATAGGAACAAAAGTGGTAATAATAATGAAAATACATCACACAGTCCTAAATGCTTGGGAAGTGTTCGACTTCTGATTTTGTGATACGAAATCCAGCATGGATATCTCATTTGCTGTGCCATACTGTGTTTTGCGCCGGTAAAATAATAATATTTTTTGTTTCTTACCCACCTCCTCTCCTCAAGGTTAATATTAAGCAGAGGAGCTGAGACCTATGATTTGAAGCCGCTATCTATATTTCTATTTAATATAAACATATGGAGAAAGACAGTGTGCTAAATAATAATAATAATAATAATAATAATAATAATAATATCATTTGAAAATATATCACACAGTCCTAAATGCTTGGGAAGTGTTTGACTTGTGATATGAAATCCAGCATATATATCTCATTTACTGTGTCATACTGTGTTTTTGTGTCAGTAAAATAATAATACTTTTATGAAACTGTATAAGAATCTCACAAGGACACATCAAAGGACTGCCACCTTTACCACAGTTTTCATCACTGACCAACCACGTACCAAAGGCAACCACAGACATGCTGATTCAAAATATGGCCATTCTATTGACTGTAAGACTGGGTATTCATCATCTAGTGTAAGACTGGGTATTCATCATATAGTTTTGATACCGAATGACAAAAGCTATTAAAATACCTCATGTCCATGAGGACTTTACATGAATACGCCTAACATTTAATTAACCACATATTTCCAGAGGTCAGTTTTTTGGGTACAATACAAAGAAAAGAAAACCATCTTCCTCCCCACAATTTTCCTGAGCTAACAACACTTTACCTGTAAGGCAAACAGAAACGGGTCTCGCCCTTTTCCACTTCCTCTTTGAACTGTTGCACACAATCCAAAAATGCCACCATGGCATGGTCAAACTTGTTGTCCCAGAAGAATCTCAAGCCTCCTGAGCAGTAGAGGGGCAGCTCCTTGAAAACACAAATATTGATAGCAGATCAAAAGAAGGTGCACCACAGCTCCCCCAAAACCTCTTGGGATGCAGCTCACAATATATACCGCAAAACTGCAAGTCAACTTTATAATTCACCCATTGCTGTTCTCCATATCTGAGTCCAGAGCAACAAAACTGATCTACTAACAAAATATTAGCAACTTTTACTGACCAATTGTCTTGCTGGATTTCTTTTTGCTATGATAACATGTCCTGGTGTTTGTAAAACCTTGCATATCCTAAAATGCAAATAAATTGCAATGCCTGCTCTGTGACCAAAGCAGAATTCATTTCCTTATATTCAGATTTCCTAGAATCTTCAAAATGCCTATGTTGTTCTGGATGTCTAGACTACAGGTGGCAAAATCCTGCCTGGAAGCAATACATTTTTAGAAGCCCAGCAGCATCAATTCAAATATTTTGTGGCAAGCTATGGCAATATTGGCTTCTAAATTGGTTTATAGAAGAAATACCATTTGAGGCCAATGTCGTACACCAATATTGTTGAGCCCAATGTCCTGCTGCTTCCTGAATGCTTGGCCCTAAGCCTTAAAAACCAGGCCATGTGGAAAAATACCAATGCCAAATAATAGGCATTTTTTCCTACAGCGTTTGGCTCTAGGGACCCAGAACCAGACATTCAAGAAGGAACTTGCTTTATACAGCTGAACTAGCTGCCGATGGAAAAAGTTCTGGCCCTTGCTGGCAGAGACCACACCTGGGATCACCTGAAGGGTTGTAGGTTTTGTATAGATAGACTAGCTGTCCCCTGCCATGCGTTGCTGTGAACCAGTCTGTGTATTTGTGTTTTTGTGTGTATAAGTGTGTGTGTTCGTGTATATATGTGTTTTTGTTACGGTGGGTTTTGTTTTTGCTTTTTAAGTCTCTTCTGCTGTGTTTTTAAGTGTTTTTATGAGTGATGGTCACTCGTTGGCCTGATAGGTGTATTGTGCCCAAACCCAATTCACCCAGTGGTTATTGAGTTATGTTAATCCCACAAACGAACTTTACATTTTTATTTATAAAGATATATGCGGTATATTTTGGGGGGTTTTTAAGTCTGTTCTGCTGGGTTTTTTTGTGTTTTTATGGGTGATGAACACTCGTTGGACTGTTAGGTGTATTGTGTCAAAATTTTGTGTCAATTCGTCTAGTGGTTTCTGAGTTATGTTAATCCCACAAACACATTACATTTTTATTTATATAGATATAATACAAAAGAAAATTTTGAAAAGTTTAATATATATTACCTGAGATATATATGTTAATTTCCAATTGTGTTTGTAACTATATCTGTATTTGTTTTTTTTCCTTTTTAAAGATTTTATTTATAAATTTGTCCAACAAAATGTATAAGCATACATTCTCCTCTCTTTTTACAATATTTTAGACAAAAGAGTATGTCATATTACATACAATCTAACAGTAAATAAACATCAAAAACATATTTAATCATATTTCTTATCATTATTTTTAAATTTCCATTACAACTTATGCTACATATAACTCTATCACACACCTTTTATCCACTTACACATATTGTATTTCTGTATTATTATACCATTTTCTCTCTCTTCCCCTTACCCTTAGTTTGTGCCCCCTTCACCAGGACCAACCAACTCAGGTTGTTTCACCATTCCAAAATATCATTGTTTCTCTTGCTGGTTAATACCCCTTTCAATCACTAAGCACATAATAAATTTTCCCCATATTTTCCAAAAGTCTGATTGTTTACATATTCCCCTTTTAATTTTAATATTGCAAGTTAGCTTATCATTAATAGCTATATTCCAAATTTCCCTATACCATTCTTCTAATTGAATTTCTTTTTTTTTCTTTCCAGTTTTTTGCTATTAACAATTTAGCTGCTGTTATCAAATTAGAAACGAATTCTTTCTCCTCTTGTAAGGGAATTATATTATCATGTATAAGTAATAATGCTAATTTTGGTGTAATCTCAATCTCTATTTTTATTATTGCTCTTATTTCTTTGAATATGCTTTACCAAAAATTTTGTATAATATTACATGACCACCACATATGAAGGTACGTCCCTATTTCCTGACAACCTCTCCAGCACTGATTTGAGTATTTTTTATCAATCTGATTTAATCTAATGGGAGTTAGATACCACCTCCATATCGTTTTGTAGTAATTTTCCTTAATTCTTATAGACATATTTTTAGTAATCTCATACTCTATATGTTTGCCCATTCTTGATTACGTATTTGTAATTGAAACCAAAGAAGAAAGAAAAACTGTGAAGAAATATTGCAACTGGTTTTGTAACAGTGTTGGAATATACTGTGGTGGAATCTCCATTGGAGGCTTTTAAACAGAGACCCAATTGGCCTCTTTCAGCTCTATAATTCTATGAAACTTCTTACCTTGGATTTGTCTGTAAGGGACTCTA